CTTTGTTCCGGAACGACATTCCACCCATCAACTTATCCTTCAGGCCTGGGCTCCAATGCCACACTTATTTCTTCCCAAGGCCCAATCAAAACTGGATCCCATGATACCCTGACTGGTGATGTTTCCTTTCACCGCACCGCTGTGTTAATAACAACTATTATTGGTTTTATGTCTGTGCAGGCAGACACAGACTCGCTACTCACTTATCCACCATCCCACATTTCCAGAGCACTGTGGACAACACAGTCACCCCTTACCTGGCCAACAGTTCCTAACTGGAAAGCCATTAGCCTTCTTCCTAGAGTGGCTCATAACAGCAAGGATATTTGTTTATTCTCTGCAGCTAGCTAGTAGGAGAAATATTGACTGAGGTTTCTGTCCCGCCCGGTCCCAGAAATGGCGCCCATGTGGACAACTGTATCGACATAAAGCCTGAGAGAGCTTGGGAAGTAATTCTAGACAGAAAAGAATAGAGTTAAGCATGGCTTGTTGATAGCAGCACTTTCTCGGGTGGGCTCTCTTTGTTAGAGACAAGCGCATCTCATTTAAGAGAGGCTTCCTGACTCAGCTTTAGCTACAAAACCTTGCAGCTCTTTTAAGAGCCCCTGCCACCATACACTTAAATGGTGTTTATGAATAGCTGACAACATGCTTCTTGGTGGTGGCAAGGACCTTAAAACGCCATGGAGTTGTGGCAATAAACGTGGTTCTGGCCAGTACCTCCACCATGAAGCTAGATTCTAAGAAAGGTAAGAAATAGGGTGGATCCAACCATCAAAGCCAAGGCTTTAATCCTAGCTATATTGCTTATCAAATTAAAGACTCATGTGGGTCAGAAAAAGAGATATACAGTAAAGATAGATTCAGATAAGAAAACCTCTAAATGGTTTAGTGTGTTTAAAAATATATGTAGACTTGGGAGAGAAAAGAAAAAGGATAGAGTCCTTAATATAAAAAGGAGAGTAGTTGGGTGTGGTGGCACATACCTTTAATCCCTACACGGGGAGGAAGAGGCAGGCAGATCTTTGTGAGTTCAAGGACAGCCTGGTCTACAGAGTGAGTGTCAGGACAGCCAAAGATACACAGAGAAACCTAGTCTCAAAAAATAAATAAATAAATAAATAAATAAATAAATAAATAAATAAATAAATAAATGAAATAAGAGTTTAAAATAAAGCCACATAAAGATGGAAAATACACAGAGTCTGTTATTGTGTTTTCTTTGAATTGTCTGAACGCTAAGGAAGGAGCAACAGCTAAAAGACATTTGATTTTAAATGTTGGATTAATCCAACATATGTATTTTAAAAATGCCCTGACTTAAAAATTTAAGTCAAAAGGTATGTTACTTTGGAGAAGAGGTTTTACTTTTGTTTCCACTGCAAATGAGAGGCTGTGGATTCATTCTGGATTAAGAAAAATAAGGTTTGATCAAGAAAGACCCCCCCCCCCCCAGGAATCTCTGATAGGAGCAAATGGCCCAGATGTCTGAGTTCTACATCCAGAACAACCTCAAGATTGCTAGCTGAGATGATCAAGCCTCAAGGAATATTCCAGCCAGGATTTGACCTTAATTCTAAATTTTCTTTAGTTCCACATAAGATTATCAGCACCCCTAGTTAGCAGGAAGTAGCCTGGAAAACTATGCCCACATTCCCAAAAAAATGGATTATGGATGTTTTTCTTTGTTTAGAGTGTTGGTTACAAGTTGTATGGATAAGGGTCAGGAAGAAAGCTAAACAAGTGAGATTCAATTCATAGTTCTTGTTTTGAAAAGGGAGGGAGTGTTGTGGAACAATGGTTTTACCCTGTAAATACTTGCTAATAAAACGCTGAATGGCCAGTAGCCAGGCAAGAAGTAGAGGCAGGGTGACGAGAACAGGAGAATTCTGGGAAGAGGAAAGGTTAGTCTGCAGCCATCACCCAGACACAGAGGAAGCAAGATGAGAATGCCTTGCTGAAAAAGGTACCAAGCCACGTGGCTAACATAGACAAGAATAATGGGCTAACTTAAGACGTAAGAAAGAGTTAATAAAAAGCCTGAGCTAATAGGCCAACCAGTTTATAATTAATATAGACCTCTGTGTGTTTCTTTGGGACTGATTGGCTGCAGGACCTGGCGGGACAAAAACCTATGTCAACAGGGAAATACTTTAAAAGACCAATGACAAAGACAACTCTAGTCTTTTTTCCTAGTAAGTTTGTAGAGCATTTATCTTTCACGTCCTCTGATCTCCCATTGCTCTTGGCATCTGTAACTTAATCTGCCTTAGACACTTCATGGATGGTTTAGCACTCAGTTACCAGAGTATAGTACATGACAATCCAATACTAGAACATCAAAGAAACTATAGGTAGCATTACTAACAGGGCTAAAAGAGCTCAAGCTGCTGTCAATCTATATAGATGAGGACCATATATGGACTCTATATGGACTCTGGGGAGTCAATCAGAGATCATCGTCATGTGTCACACCTTCGCCCACGCCTCCTACAGCTCTGAGCAGCGCTTCTGTACTATTTAACATGGCAGGTATCTAACCCATTTGACTTATTAGTTAACACCATCAAGAACTTCTGGTTGCTATACAGAATTTGAGTAGAGGCTGAGGGCCCACCTGAATAGAAAAACATCAGTCTAGCATGTGCTATGGGAGCAGAGAAAAACAACTGAAGAATTCATTATGCTATTCTGCACAATGGAGACTCTGGATTGAGCATGTTATAAACTATGTTCATCTAGTAATAGAATCAAGAGACTCTAAAACTGAAATCTTAAAAGCTTAGCCTTATACTCTGAGGAGTCAATGTAAGAGCAAAATAAGAACCACTGAGCAGTGATATTCCACGAATTTAGCATGGCCGTGGTCCATTATTTCTGTTGCATTTTTTTCTTTAATTTTTACAATAATCTCGAAAACTGAGGAAGCTGAGGGTGAGGGCTTAGGTGACTTTTTCAACTACCACATAGCTAATAATGTGTCTATCTTTCAGATGCTCTAAACTGAACAAAAACAATAAAACCCACACTACAAGCCACACACAAAATAAACTCAACCGTAGGGGGCTTAAAGTACAAGATGCATGACACCTTTCAGCTTTCTACAATTTACAGATACAGTGCTATACTGCTGAATTTGACTTTACCGAAATAAACCTGAAATGTATTTGTAAAAAAATTATGAATACTAAAAATGCTGCAGTAAAATATCATTTACCAACTCCATTTCTGATTGAGCCTATAAACAGAAAAGAATGGATGTGAAAAAATCTAAGTGTGAGTGTTTCAGAAAGTGCTTAGCTTCTGATAGGACAAAATACAACAATAGAACAGAGGTAGTATTATCTAAGGCTAAATGATGTCAATCTTTTAAACAATCCACAAGCTTGTAATGGCTGGGACCTATCACTTACTTCAAACCATGATTGTTACTTTATCAAACACTGGGACAAGTGCAGTCTTGTAAGACATGAATGTATGAGATCAAACCATCACAGTCAAAACAAATCACATAAACTTCTTCACGCTGATCATCTCGCCCTGTGTGGTACCAACTCTGAAGTCACAAAAATTCCACTATAGACTTGCTGAGGCAGATGTCAAGTAATTCAACTCATAAAAAAGTTAAATATTAATCAGGTCTCAAAAGCATCAAAGTTATCTTCAAATAATTATCTGAACCCTGAGGAAATGAAAGACTTACGAGGCCATAAAAAAAAAAAAAAAAACAGAAGGAAAAGTCAATAAGAGTGTATGGGAATGGTTTTTTGTTTACAAAGTAAAAGGGCTTGCACAAAAATTAAGACTCCAGACTTTTTCTCTAGACATCCTGGAGGGGGAAAAAAATAAAATAAAATCCCTGTTTCCTTTTTTCTCTAAAAACTCACCAATGTCACTTTTTAAAAACATCCCTCTTTTAAATATTTTATGTGTATGAATGTTTTGCCTGCATGCATGGATATATACCACGTGCATGGTTGGTGCCTATTAAGGTCAGAAGGCATGGAATCTCCCTGGAAGTGGAGTTACAAATGGTTGTGTGTTGTGTGCTTCCTTGTGGGTGCTGAAAACTGAACCCTCTTGGTTCCCAGCAAGAGCACTTGTTGCTCTTAACTTCTGAACCGTCTCTCTACCACTGCCCTGCACCAAGGCAGCTCTCTTCCAAAAAGTTTACATTACAAACAAACAAACAAGACCGTGCTATTATCAAAAACAACTTTTCCCAAGATTTGAGAAGTATCTGTGGGCGTGGTGGCAAACGCCTTTAAACCCTAAGGCTGGGAAGTTGGGAAGCTGGGAAGCAGAAGCAGGTGGATCTGTGAGTTCAAGGCCAGCCTGGTCTACTTTGCGAACTCTAGGTCAGCTAGAGCTACACGGAGATCCTGCCTAAAAATAATAAACAAACAAAAAATAAAAAGGAAAGAAAGAAAAAAGATTTCTATGGTCCTCTACATATTCAAGATTGCAAATAATGGGCTTTAATAATTAATAGACTATAAACACATGCTATTAAGATTTTCCTTCAAACGTCAACCTTTCTTTCCACTCAGGATCCCTAATGGATATACATAAGCCATACACTACAATCTAAAAAGGACCCAGATGGTAGTATGTTCTCTCCACTGTCCCAAGAGAGAGCCTCTTCTACACCTCCTCCACACTCCCTTCTCTGGGCTCTAAACACATGCGTAACTCAAAGAGGTGACACACTGTCAAGATGGGGTGAAAAAAGGCAGGGGCACACAAGATACATAACTGGATGGGAAAGGCTGCTAAGTGCTGCCTCCTCTGTATCGCATGACCAGCCTAACCCGCTGCAAACTTTTGAAGGATTAAGTTACATTCCGCTGCAATTCCACACTTGACAGCTGAATCCAGAGATGCCAGCAAGTCGTTCCTCGGGTCCTGTGCTGCCACCTCACCAGGGAGAGTCGGCGGCTGCATCCCGCGGCCAGCACGCACCAGGGCATGAGAAGGGAGGAGGGTCTGGGCGAGCTCACCTTTTCCAGCTCATCGTGGAGCTCTGCCAGGCTGGGCCGGAGGAGCTTCTCGCCCAACTGCGCGGCCGTGTGCCGGTAGTGGTCGATCCTGGGCACCGCGTCCATGGTGTTGTGGCCGAAGGTGCGCAGGTAGTAGGTGTTGGTGTGGGTGTCATAGTAGTACTGCTGATGGTGTCCACTGCCGCCGCCCGAGTGCAAGCTGCTGCCCTCGCTCAGCACCGTGTCCCCGCCGTTCTGGAAGCTCACGTTGGGCCCGTCGCCTCCGACCCCCGCCGCATCCGACAGGCTGTCGTCCGCGGACGATGAGGCAGCTGGGTCCACGAAGTTCACGCGGAAGCGGCCCTTGGCTTCCTCGCTGCCCTTAGCAGCGCCGCTCTCACTGCTGCCTTTCCCGGCCGCCGGGGTCTCCTTGCCCGTCGCCCCGGCCGCCGCCGCCGCCGCAGCCGCCGCGGCCCGCCCGGCGTTCTCGGAAACCGGGTCCACCTGGAAGCGGCTCTGGCTGGGGGTGGGCCCCAGAGGTCTGCCCAGCCCATCGCCCGCCGCCGCCGCTCCCTCTCCGCGCACCCCGCCGGCCTGGCTCCCGGCCGTAGCATCCTCTCGGCCGGAGGAAGGCACGGCAGTCCCGGGCAGGTCCACCCCGGCGACAGCCAGCGGCGCGTCCCCATCCCGGGCGGGCCGCGGTGCGCCAGACGAGGGCGCCGCGGGCCGGGGCTCCATCTCCGCCCGACGCTCGGAGAAGCTGCGGAGCGGAGCGGGGCGGGTGAACGCTTGCCTAGGGCTCGGCTCCGGCTCGTGAGCCGGCGGTCCCGCTAGAGAGCCGGAGGAGAGAGAGAGAGCGCGCGCCACCGAGAGTCGCAGCGCCTCAGGAGCCCGCGCGCCACACGCTCGCCGCCAGCCGCCGAGTGCCCGCGAGCGCGGCCGGTCCGCGGTTTAAAGGCGCGGCGGGGCCGCGGCGCTCGGTGCAGCACGCGGGAGGCGGGGCCGCTCAGCCCGCCCCTCGGCCCGCCCCGAGCTCTGCGCCGGCCAGCCCGGCGCGCCGAGCCCGGAGAGCGAGCGCCGGCCTCCGCGGCGCAGCGAGCAGGCGCGGCCCGGGCGGCCGCACGCGTCTCCGCGCCGACCTGCGCACCGCCGCCCCTTCCGCTGCCGCTGCCGCTGCCGCCGCCGCCGCCCGCCCGCTCCACGTTCTCCCCGGGCCGCCCGCCTGCCCGTCCGCAGCCCCGGCCCTGGTGCCAGCCGCCGCGGATGCTCGCCCTGCAGCACCGGCTCTACAGACTCCTCTCGTCGCTGTCTTTTTCTTTTTCTTGCTTTTTTTTTTTTTTTTTTTTAAGTTCTAAACTCGCAATACTTGCGGCGAGCCGGCGAGATCTCGCGAGACGCTGCAGGGCCTGTGGGCGGTTTCCCTCAGGGCGCGTGGTACCCAGGCCCGCGGCGCTCTGGCTGCGGGTGATGCTGGGGTCTTTCCTGTTGGACCCGCGCGCGCTTCCGGAGGCGCTGGCCACGCGCGCTCCCGCCCGGAGGCTGCGCGCGCCCTGACCCGGGCGGGCGCAGAGGCTGGGCGCCCAGCTGGAGAGCCCCGCGCCAGCGTTTTTAGATTTGCATAACCAAAAAGTAATTCCAGCCGGGATGCGGTGGGTGTGTCCCCACTTGGGTGACACCTTTATTTTTAAAAGCTGGTGCTTGGAGGTGGCAAGGGAACCTCGTTCCGACGATGGAAGACAATTTTTAACTTCACTGTTAGGAAACGCCTCTCTCGGGATACAGTGACAGCAGCAGCCTACGCTACAATTAGGAGTTTTCCGTTTGGCTGCGGTAGAGAAGAATTCCTTGGTTTTAACACAAAAATGCTCTGCAGGCTTGTTTTCTCTGAAAATTTAGAGGAAGAACACCTGCTTTCCAACTTAGTAGTCTATGTTAACTTGCTAGCTCTCCGAAACCCTAAGAGAAAGCGAGCCATCACAAATAGTTTCCTCGGGTCATTGTCTGCTATGGTTGTGTTTATTCTATATTTAAAGAATTGTAGGAATAAACACCATCTCTTGCCGAATACTTTAAGCAAGATCAAAGTATCCAAGACCTCAGAGCCTGGGTTTACAAAAAAAAAAAAAAAAAAAAAAAAGCCAGTCAAAAATTTAAAAGCCTTCAACTACGATCTTATTTGCCCTTGACAATTGGTCAGCATATTATCATTATCTGTATTTTAAAGATGGAAATCAAAAAGAACAGATCTTGGGTCATACACTCAGGACTTCTTAAACCACTGTGAACTTTTCTAAAATTAATGGAAAACCAGAAGAGGCCAAAAAAATCATGTGTTCTTTCAAGCAGTCTAATTTTCTACTAGGGAACACTGCTGTCCTAGTAAACGCTCTATCTTGTGCCTTCCAGCCTAAAGCTAATTTATGGCTGTAAGAATTCAACATTAATTTACTGAACAAATGTTGAAACACCTGCTATGAGCTTCCCTGTGTCCTTAGGATGTAGCTAAATCCATCTCGTGGATGTCATAGATAATGTAAAGAGATAAGATATTTAGCCTGTCTATCAGAAAGAAATGCTAAAGGAAAGGGGTAGGGAGATGGTAAATCTTCCTTAGGATGACATCACTGAAGTGACCTTTGAGTGAGAAAGTGTGTTATGCAAATATTTTGGAGCAATCTGTTCTAAGTAGAGAAAGCAAAGGCTCCAGAAGTGGGAGTAGGCCTGGTATGGAATTGCATGTCGGGCAGTGTGAGGGGAAAGAATCAAAGGCATCAGGTTCAGAGTTGGAGGACGTGGGAAATGTGTCAAGTCTTTGGGTGTTGGAGGAACTTTGGCTTTCTCTCTGAGTGGAATGGTAGTTCAGGCTTCCATAGTAAAATACCATGGACTGGATGACTTAAGCAACAGAAAAATACTTTTTTTTTTCATAGTTCTGGAGCTCTCTGAGTTTGAGATCGAGGTCCCAGTGTGGCTAGGGTCAGGTGAGGACTCTCTGGTTACAGACGGCAGCCTTCTCACGGTGGCCTTACACAGTGGAGCAACCACTCTGATGCTACTTCCTTTTCTCATAAAGGCACAGTTTTATTGACCCCAGCTTCAACCCTAAGAGCTCTTTTAACCTTAAGGTAACTTGAAGAACCTTCTTTCCAATTCAATCACGTGAGTAGGTGAGTGAGTGTGTGTGTGTGTGGTGGGGTAACTTCAGCTACAAATGTTTGTGCTGCACAGCACAGTCCATAACAGCTGTCACATCACTGAAGAGTTCCAGGAAGGACGAACATTTTAAATACAGAATTATGTCCAACTCAGTGACGTTTCAGGAAAGCTGTCACATAATGTCATAATGGAGCTGAAATATCTATAGCCCTGTTTTTGTTTCCTTTTTTCAGTTTAGAAACACACGCAACACTATATTAAGCCTACAATGTTCAGATCCCTAATGCTGTACAGATCCCTGACTCTGCCTAGGAGAAATAGGCTATGCCACATAACACATGTATGATGTAAACTATATACCATGTAGATTTCAGTATGTATATTCTACATGATCCGTCAAAATTGCCAAACAACACACTTGTCGCTCTAGGAAACCAACACAGGACCATTGTACCTGCTCAGCAGGCAAAGAAGTAAGTGACAGAAAGATCAAGATGTGTTAAAGTATGCTGGAATAATCCCCAAATGGACAGTGTTGCTTTGGCCACGGAGGTTAGTAGGAGAAAGTGGGGTAAGGGGTTGGGTGGGGCAGTAAGTGGTTGGCAAGGGAAGTGGCAGCATTTGCAGAGACAGTGTGTGTGTGGAGTGAGAACCCAAGGTTTTGGGCCTGAGCAATTGAAAGAACGGTGGACTTTCTGAGGTGAGTAGAGAAGGAAAGGAATAGGTTTGAGTGAGATGTAAAACAGGAGCTAAGAGACCTTAGAAGAATGTCTGCCTGGGACACTGGGCTAAACTCTTTACATCGTGGGATTAATGGCACAATGCCATGAGGAATAAAATGGCAGCACCCTCAGGTGCTATGTGCTATGCTTAAAGCTGAGTTCAGTAGGGAAATGAATAATTCCAAAACTCAATGACTAAAGACAGAAGGCAGGAGGAAGAAGGGGCCTAAAAGATGAGAAGAAAACCAGCTGAAGTCTTTTGGATGCAGGACCAAGAAGAGTTGAATATACTGAATTACATAACAGTATTGGCCAAGGGAATGGGAGTCGGTATAGTTCCAGAAGAAACAATCAGAATATTCACATGAAACTTGTCAGGAGGGTCTCCTTTAGTTAACTGTCCGTCATGGGGCTGTCTGATTTGCCAGGTGACAACTAAGGGACTGGCCATGGAAACAGATTCATCTTCAGTGACAAAGAGGAAGACCCGTACACTGTTTTGTTCAGTTTTCCACCTTTTGCTAACAGCCCAGCCCCAGGTCAATGTAGTATCAGCAAATTTAGCAATTTGTACCAAATGCACATAGATCTGGAGGCTAGATAGGTCTTGGGTCGTTATATCATATCAAACTTTCCTCTTTACAAATGCTAACCATCCTGGTTAGCTTCGTTGTCAACTTGCTACAACCTGGAAAGAAGGAACCACACGTGAAGAGTTACCTAGATCAGATGAGCCCATGGGCATGTCTGTAAGGCATTGTCTTGGTTCCTGATTAATAAGAGGAGGGTCCAGCCCACTGTGAGCAGTATAGTCCTCGGCTCTGTAGGACAACTTAGCTGAGCATGAGCCCAAGTGAGTCAGTTAGGACGCAGTATCTGCTGTGGTTCCAGCAGTACTTTACTTGCCTGTAGGAAGGTAACGCTGCATGAAATAGCAAGCAGTCCTGCTTTCCTGCTCCTGCCCTGGGTTCCTTGCCCTGAATTCTCTCAATGGATTGTGACCAGGACGTCTAAATCAAATGAACCCCTCGCTCTCTAAGTTGCTTTCAGTGAAAATGTTTTATCACAGCTGAAGAAAGGAAGCTAGAACACTAAGGTACTCTAAATGGAGGTATAAGTTCCCTATCAAGGTCTCTATAACTCTCTATCTACAGTGTGAGAATAAGTAAGTACAGGACCGTGTAGAACCTGTCAATAGTTTGGTTCTGAGACCAGCTCTCACAGCTCTCACTGTAGCCCAGGCTGGCCAGGAACTCACTCTGTAGGTCACGCTGTCCCCAGAGTTACAGCAGGCCTCCTGCCTCTGCCTCCTAAGTGCTAGGGTTACAAACATGAGCTGCCGCCTGACTTCATGGGGAACCTATAAAATTCACACACACACACACACACACACACACACACACACGTGTACCAAGTCAATGAGTTCAGTTAGACAAGCTGACCTGGTTGTGGTTTTCTGCTTTCACTAGCTGGCATTAAGCACACCGATGAAGTCAACAGTATTTCCCTTGAGAAATAAAGTGATTATCCTATTATGGAAAAAAAAAAAAGTTGCCCTAGAGAAACTTGATCATGCTGTACATGTTATTTTGTTTTCTTCCCTAAGTTCCCTTCACATTCTTTTTCATTAAAAATATTGTAAATATTTTCAAGCAAGTATTCAACATTAATTCAAACCTTATTATCCTTTTTCACAGCACAATATTGAAATTCATGTTTATAAGTTATCCCCTTTAAAGTAGATAACCCAAAGCTATCTGTCTGTCTGTCTGTATATCTATGTGCCTCTGTTTGTGCGTCTGTCTCTCTGCCTTACTCTCTCTGTGTGTGATGGTACAACCTCACCTGTCTCCGTCTGTGTATGTGTAAGCATGTGTGTGTGCGCACGTGTGTGTGTGCACGTGCTTGCGTGCGTTTGTGTGTGTGTGTTTGTGTGTGTGTCTGTAATGGTACTACCTCAGTCCTTTCTCAGGAGCTGTCTAACTTGTTTTTTGAGATAGTCTCTTAACTG